AATTATTTTATTAAATAAAGTTCATTTGTTTTGTTTTGACTCTTGAATCGCATCGAGGTATGAAAATAATTAAATTTAAATATTTATATGATTGAAAATATGATAGAATCATAAAAAAAGGTAACTAATGTAAATTTTAAATATATAGCTTAGTAAGGTACTTTTAGCCTGTAACAACGTCTAAATAGAAGAGTTGTGGAATTAGGTAAAAAAATCTTCCATGTACCAACAGGTACGGTTTGTGTTACTTTTTCAGGAAAAATGATTCCTAAGGAAATTTCAATTTATGGTTAAGGATGTCGGAGTCCTTATTGCCCCGGGCGGGTGCCAGTTCGTCCGTGTATTCCGAAACTGATTCAATGTAGGTTAAGCCTCAGTGAACTGGGGTAGGACACTTGTCTGAGGGCATACCCGTTCCTAATCGAACAGCCCGCTCCTTGCCGCAAGATGCGCTGGTACTCATATGTATGGAATCTAACAACAAAAAAGGTAATTTGAATAGTGTAGAAGCTGGCACCAGTGTTTCTGGTAGCCATGTTCCGAGGAAATGTGTTAATAACAAGGACAATGTTTGTTTCATCTGCGATCACTTGGTTTTACAAAAGACTCGATATACAGTTACCACTAACCTGAAATCGAGCTACAAAAAATATTTATGTATTGACGCACACAATTCTCGACAATGGTGGATCCCGAAATATCTTTGTAACCGTTGCTCTTTATCCTTGAATCGATGGAACCAAAGCAACCCACAGAGTATAAAAATAAAGACTCTCATGGAGTGGAGAGAGCTGAGATCTGACCATTCCAATTGTTACTTTTGTGGATACAAGATTACAGGTTTCAACCAAAAAACCAAAGGTAAGGCTGTCTATGCTGATGTGGATAGCGCTAGTTTTCCGACCTATATTGAAAAAGGAAATAACGCATTTTAGTTGGATTCAGGGGAAGGAATGGCCATTGATGACCACGAAGAAATAGAGGTTAGAGAGACCTTTGAGGCTATTGAACCAGTGGACAGCAGTCACTCATCTGACGAGAGTCATGAAGAGGATGAAAACAAGCCACGGCTCTTTACTCAAGATCGTCTCAGCGATCTGGTTAGAAATCTGGGATTAGATAAGGATAGAGCGAAATTGCTGGCATACAGACGGCAAGAAAATCGTCTTCTAACACCAAAATACTAAAGTGTCCCGTTACAGAACAAGAAAAAATGATTTTCTACAGTATTTTGTGCAAGAAGAGTCCGTGATATTCCAGGCTTGATGAATAAAATGAAAAATTCTCGTTATAGAGCTGAAGAGTGGAGATTGTTTATAGACGCGAGTAAAAGATATGCTTCAATCCCCGTTGGACATTCCGTGATTCTCCGAGAATCCTATAAAACGTTCAAGCTCCTACTATAAAAATTGAAGTACAGTGAATATTAGTGGTTGCTTTGTGGCGATCTAAAAATGATCACAATCCTTTTGAGCCAGTAATCCGGATACATTAAATGGCCATGCTTTCTGTGTTTGTGGAATAGTCAGGTAGACGCTCAACATTGCTCGGTAAAAAGACTGACACCGGGAATGCACAGTGTATTGACTGAGCCGTTAGTGAAAGTATTGCTTCCACCCCTCCATATTAAGCTCGAGCTGATGAATCAATTTATAAGAGGTCTAGATAAAAAGGGGCCTTGTTTCCAATAATTTTCTTAACTCTTAAGTGATAAGCTCAAGGCTGGAATATTTAATGGGCCCCAAATTCGCGCAGTCATGAAAGATGAAGAACATGTTGAGTCCATGAATCCCCTTAAAAAAGAGGCCTGGCTGAACTTCAAGTGTCTGGTAAAAAACTTTCTAGGTAACTCCAGAGCCGCAAATTACAAGGAAATCGTGGAAAATGCGCTTGATTGTTTCAGAGAGTTGGGGTGTAGAATGAGCCTGAAGTATCAAGAAAGGTGGGATATCCGTATGATGGCAGATTTTTGTTGGTCATTGAAGTGGGACACAACAGAAAGCCATAAACGCCAGACTGTGCGAATTAAAAGTTTAAAGATACTACAAAAAGAAAGTCTAAAACCAGAGTCTCACCTTCCATGAAATGAAATTTGCAAACATAGTGTGAGAATGAGAATCGGAAATTATGGCGTTTTTTCTTGAGTTCCATTAGTAACTATCTAAAAACCGTCACCATAAGGCCAATTCCAGACATAAAGGGCCTTTTTTAAGCTCGGGATCGGATTCGGCGTCGAAAAATACATGGGAATACATTTGTCCGACCGGCAAGTCTGAACACTTTTTTTTGTGGGGCTGTGATTATTGATGACAAAATGACTGTGGCTCGACTGTCGGCCATAGTGACCTACTTACTACAGCCCCTTGTAGATGAAAATTAAAAGGATATAATCATAATTGGAAACAGACAGACAGTTATCTATTTTGTAGAATACCAATTTGATTCTATTTGACACTGTACATAGTGTTATTTTTCGCAATCGTTTCTTGGTTTTATTGAAGCATTTTTAGCACGTGATGTCGAAGAACGCTTAGGTCAGAAAAGGTTTAGAGGCATTTATTTATTAATTACATTCTATTGTGATTAATTAAAATCAATATTTACGTGGTATAAAATTAACCTAAAAATATCGTCGGCTAATAGCAACATAAAAACACCACAGAACGAGCGAGAATTAAATTTATCGAAATTTCGTCTTTGATAATACCAATAAGTGGTTCATGGATTGCTATTAGGAAACACAAAGGCACAGCGAAATTGTAATTTGTCACTATTGTAAGTTCTGAAAGGAATAAAGACATTGATCTATACCAACTGCTCGAAATGTCTTTAGATATTAGAAAAGCTATTGTGGTGTTGTATCTATTATTCATTTTATACATCGAGTAGTTGCTAGGTAGGTGGTTTGGAAAATATTTATAGTAAATTACAGACCGGTGCCGAAAAAGACGTTACTTTGAAGATGTTAATAAAATAACATAGAAACTGTATTTTAATGAATATTTAAAAAATTATGAAGTTCAGGATTTTCATCATAAATATTTGGAGGGAAAATCAAAATCTCTAAATCAGTATTACATAAAAAGTTTTAATTAACTAAGGGTTAACAAAGGCAACTGGTTTCGGCTCGAGCGCCATCTTCAGTCCTAAGAGAAAGATACATTGGATTTAGACAAAGTAGAAAATTACAAGTTGGTAACATACCTTAAAAAATTATCCTCAACTTATAGATTAGGGTCAGGTCGATGATTATTACAAGTAGTAGTTACAACAATTGTAATTTATTATTAAAATACATCATTCCAATGAAATAAACGTCTTTTTACTAAGGCTTTAATTCGCTAAACCATGACATGAATAAAAATCTGATGTGTCCAACACATGACTTTCCTATCTAGTTATTATAGGCATTTTCCGGTTATTTTGTACAACCTATTGCAGCATCTCTATAAATGTTTAGAGGATAAACTAAATATATACATGTTACACATACATTTACCTCGAAACATTTTCTTATAGATATTCATTGAAAACGAAAATACTAAAAAATTTAAATTTAGCACTTTTCCATTACGGTCCATTTTAGAAAAATCATGTAAAAACAAAAATTATAGAAATCGATATCGCCAACAACTTTTAGTTCAACAATTTTCATAAAAATCAGAATTTTGCACATTTTGTCAAATTTCTCGAATACGGACCATTTCAGGAAATTTTGACATAAGGCAAAAATTATAGATAATTATATTAGAAGTAACTTTTATTTGAACAATTTTCTTCTCCAAACATAAATAACAGATATATTCCATAAAATATAAAAACAGCCTCCCATAAAGTACCCCCCCAGATGTTCCGACTTTGTCCAAAATCCAATCATTTCACGTCAGGCCGAAATAAACCTTAAGTTTAAAATTTAATGTTTTTTCCTTTATCCGTTTTTGAGTTTTCTTCAAATTTCGAAATTTACACATTTTCTCAAATATCTCGAATACGGTCCATTTTAGAGAAATTATGTATGGGACAAAAATTATAGAGAATTATATTACAAACAACTTTTATTTGAACAATTTTTATAAAAAATTATTTTTTTTACATTTTGTCAAATTTATCGAATACGGACCATTTTAGGAAAATTTTGAATAAAACAAAAATTATAGATAATTATATTAGAAGTAACTTTTATTTGAAGAAGTTTCTTCTTCAAACGTAAATAACAGATATATTCCATAAAATATAAAAATGACTACCTATAAAGTACCTATAAAGTACCCCCAAAACGGATTCAGGGGACCTCAAAACGTAAAAATCCGTCGAAAACTCGAAGTCGAAAAAAATCATGATTCCTATACTTTCCTTATATCTGTATACAGATAGGAAAGTAAAAAGGTAGTGATGCGTATTTATCAAATTGACAAGCATCTGACTAACATAATTTTGGATTTTCTCCGTGTAGAAATAAACATAACATTATATATATTTTTTTAACGCAATAGTACTGTAGATATTGAGGTCGTCTTTTGTCATTTGTAGATTTTATAGTGGGGAATTCGTCTTTTTTATTCTGGTCATCGTTTCTCTAATTGGCAACGACTTCCATAATGTTACACTTATCAGAGCCTACTTCTGTAGAATATACTGCAGAATCTAGTAGAGTGTTGTGAAACAGATTAGTATTACCTCCTGGCGCTAAATTATTTAATGACACTGTAATCTAGCGTTTATCGTCATGTCTTATGAAAGCAAATGATGAGAATTCTTTGACGAGTAAGCACGTACCGATAGTGTTCTGCAAGTTAAATTGTAAATTTATTAAATTAAAAATAAAGAATCTTCTGTTGTGAGTGCGAACTGTGTTCTATAAAGTCCTGTATTACCAGCAAACTTTACAAACATCTACAAAGTGCATTTTGGTAAGGTGTACAACTCAGTTTTTGTGCTAAAAACCAGATCCATGTCAACACATCTATTTCATTTCCATCGTTCACTTAGATACTATCACGATGTCCACGGTGAATTGCACGAATTGCACAAAAATATTGTCTGATCAAGATACTACTAACATTCAGTGTGATGGCTGTAAATGGCCTATCCACCTTGCCTGCACGGGACTATCAGCAGAAGATCGAGTCATGAGAAATAGCGAGAAATGTTTAAAAATATTCTGTTCGGTATGTAACGCTAGTCTGGATATTAAAACCCTCCTAGCGTCTTTTAAAAACGACCTAAGTAAGAAACAAGAAGAAATGAAAATAAAATTCTGTCAAATAAATCAAAAACTATCCAACTTTGAACATTCAACTACCCCACAATTTGCTCAGGAAGCAATTATAGAATGTACCGATCTAAGAATGTTATAGTGCGGGGAATTACTGAAGCCCCTGATGATAACGACACTAAAACAAATCATGACGAAGTTGCAGGTATACAAGATTTACAATCTGTTGGCTGCGCTTCCATTAGCGTTTTTCCGACTAGGCAAGCACCAGTCAAACTTAAAGTACCCACGAATGATTAAAGTTGTCTTGCCCAATGATTACGATGCCCGTCTGTATTAAAAAATTAAAAAGAAACTGCTTGAACACCCCACAACTAAAAACCTTTTAGTAATTACCGATCAGACGTCTACCCAAGTTCAAGTTATTAAAAATGTATGGTTCGAACTAGAAAACAAAGCAAAATGGAGAAACAGACATAACCATCAAGTATTTGCAAGGTGTGCCTAAAATTGTTTTAAACTCTAATTTTCAAGTCTAACTCTGTCCATATTACTTCTTGGTCATTTTTACATACTAACTTGGATTCTATTGAGGCTAAATTTGATGACTTTTTATGTAATTTTCAAGATCTCAAACCGCATTTGATATTTATCACGGAAACCTGGCTAAAACCATCAGATCCAGACTCGCTTGTTTCTATTCATGGATACACCATATTCCGATCTGATAGACTACTGAGAATAGGTGGCGGGGTTTGTATATATGTATATGTATCGAAATGGAATAACCAAATTTTAATTCTTAAGTTAGGACACACTGTATACTAGGACAGCTAGTATGAGGATTTTATGAACAATGTTAAACATAACTGTCAAAATCAATAACAAATAAGTCATAAATTAACACTATTAAAATAATTAATCTCACAGGAGTTATTCTGAAATATAATATTGAAAACAACCCATAACAGAATTAAAAATAAACTAGTCACAAGATAATTAAAATAACTATGCCAATAAAAAAGTCGTTTCTTGACTAACAAAAAAGTAAATATGCGAACTTATCTTTATTTGTTCTTTTTGTTCTCTGATTTGGAATCTTAGCAACCAGGTAACCAGGGGGTTGTTGATGGACAGAGGACTTTCGGCTGGTTTCTTTGTAAAACATTAAATAAAATTATAACAATATTATTCCATAATGTCTGGAGTAGTGGAATCCTGCGAGTATAAAAATATTCCTTCTGATATCATACTATACGAGTTGTGATGGGTAAGCGCATCTATATTTTATTTGAAAACACTATATGTCACCTGGACGAGAAGCTGATTTACGAGTCTTACGCCATTGCGTATCTTGAACCCGAAAGAATAAACTTTTCTTTGCATTATCTGAAACAAAACAACAATCTTAGAAATCTGTGACTCAAGTTAGTGAACCTAGTTTTGAATAACTCTAATAAGGTTTTTATTGCGACTACTCACTTGAAAGTATTTTTGATGAACGTTTGATGCAACAAACATAATTGTTATAAGAAAAAAGAATATTTCTTGTTCTTCATAAACATTTGTCTAGTTTTCTTTAGGTTAGGTAGAATTAGAAGCTGATGCAGGAGGCCTCTATGCAAATCACTAGGAAGCGATTACATTAATGGTCAGAATTTTAAATAAAATTAAATAAGATAAAGAAAACTGTAATCACTGACTAGAGGATAGTACTTCCGCCATTTTTTATCCATTATTTTATTTTTAAACCATGATTGCTTAAAATTATTTAATTCTATTTTCTCTTGGTCTGTATTGATTAATGTATATTAATAACAATTTTGAAATAAACATATATTATCTGTAAAAGGGCAATATTTTAATCAACCAACAGGATTCCAAATAAAATAAAAATATAATAACTTAACAAAATTTAAAATTGACCTAAATCAATAACAAAATAGTACGTACCTTGAACCCAAGACGCCTGAGATAACGCAAGTCATAGCCGGAGCACAACAATAACAAATAAAGGTAAATATTTAATAAATGACATGGATATTTGTATCATTAACTTTATTCTTTAAAAATAAACAAAATAATCAAAAACCCAGATACAAATAGACCATATCAATAACCCGAAACTTTTCAATTAACACTGACATCCCAAAAATAGCAGGTATAGATATTTTACTGCTTAACGTTTCTAAAAGTCTCTTCTTTATTTATATACCTAGTGATTCCTGCGAAGATTCAAGAAAGCTATTAATTGTTTAACTTAAAACCTCTCAACTCTCCAAAATGCAATTTCAGTTGGAGAGTTTAATTTTCCCGATATTTGCTGGCCTATAACTCGTATTTCAGACTTAGACACTTCAACAAGTAATTTTATGTTATTTTTTGCTGACTACAATTTCTTTCAATTAATAGATAAACCAACAAGATTTAGGTTGATTAGTAGAAAGTCACCAGGTTCATTAATCACAAAGAATTTATAATTTTTTTTATCTTTGCTATTTTAATGCTTTTTCTTTTTAAAAATAACTATTTACTCAAATATTTTCACGAAATTTGTATTAATAATTATGAATTAAATTTGTTATTTACTAAATTCTATGTCCATTTATTTTGTTAAATTTTGATAAGAAAATTATTAACTATTTTTTAATAACTACAAAGTTTTTTTACCTAAGGCTTCGGTCGCACGCTTGTGCAAGTAATTTGGTGGAGCGCGCGTGCGCAATTTGCGTAACCAGCAATGTGCTCACACTAAATGCAAGCAGGTGCAAGTTGATTATTATAAACAGGTCAGTCAAAATGGAGATGTCGGACGATGAGGATATTGTTTTGGAAAATGGTGTTTCAAAGTTTTTATTTTTGGATGAGCAGGAAATCAGGAAAGAGTAGGTTAACGAGTATTTTTTAGACAGAGAGGAAGATGAAGAGTATGCACAAATATTTAATGATTTGCTTAGACAGCCTAATAAGTTTTTTGAATACTTTAGAATGATACCAGACACTTTTAATTATATACTAGGCAAAATCACTGCTAAAATAAGGAGACAATCTAACTTTCGAAATTGTATATCACCTGAAAAGAAGCTGATAGTTACTTTGAGGTAAGACTTAAACATTTATTAACTATTTACTTTAAAATATGCTTTTGATAAATTTAAAAATGATATTCAATCTGCCAATATTAAAAATGTTTTAGGTATTTCTCTCCCAAAAAAGGTAATCTTACGTATTGATTGTAAACATCAAAAAATGGCGATTGAATATATTTTTCAACTAAGATCACGCACGCTTGCAATTAAAAAACAAATATTTTTGTTTCGAATCAAGCTTGCATAAGCATGCACTTGCTTGTTGCGTGCAGTATGAGCCATTGATAAATTAATAAAACAAGATGAATCTTATAAATCCACGCCACTGTCAACACGTTGTAGTTCCCAGCATACTATTAGTTAGCGCCACCATCGCAATAGTATGAAAGCGATGTTGCCGGTTTCCGTAAACTTTCATGAGATGAGAGTTATTTTAAATTCATCTTACTTTAATTTTTTATCAATCTACATGCGCACCATAGCATCCATACAATGTCCATACTAGTGCTGGGATTGTTAAAAGAAGGAGTTGACAACCTCGTAAAAAATGAAAAACCGTGAAGGCGGAAGGCCAAATGTGATAATGAAATGATAAAACTTATTTTATGAATTATGATGAAAGTTCTAAAGATCGGCAAGTTATTTTTATGTAATTAGTAAGTATTAGCGATTTAATTTAATATAAAAGGTGTGTAGATTTATTTAAGGACTTTGTTTATCATTGTTTTCATGACCTTATATAATTTCATATTTCATGGATTTTCAATTCTGTTTTAATAATTGAAACAAAAAATGTCTGGCCCGGGTATAGTTAAGTATTCTCGAGAGTATTCTTGTTCAGCTCCTAATTGTTTAAATAAGTATTATAAAATTCAGTAAGTTGGATAATCAAATATTAAACCTTTTTCATTTTCTTTTGATATTAAAATTTGCCAGAACTGGTTTAAGACTTTAAATTTAACTTTAGATAATAATACTCCCTATCTTTGTCTTTTAGTAGGGTTTCATCAAAACGTAAACTGTTAGTTGGACATTCTGTACCAATTTCATTAGATAATTGTGCTTCCAGTATCCAGTTCCAATATACAACCTGAGAATTAGATTTTAGAATAAGTTGAGGCTGAAGCACAAATATAGCAGCATAAGAAAAACAAGAAATTAGTTGCAAACTTAATAATTAGTGATGAACAATTTGAACGACGCTTGAAACGAAGAAAAACAATAAATAAATAAAAGTAGAGTCAGAAATTTAAGTCCTAAAGAGAAAAAGTTGTATTTCATTAATATTTGATAAGAGAAATTGTTCAATAAGACATATGTACACTTTTTGTTATGTTTTTATAGAAAACACCGGACAAAATATGGTCCATTTTTTCAAGAATGGGGGAGACTACCTACTATTTATTTTACTTACATTTGTTATTTAATATTGAGCTCATGTATGTATGTGTCGGAGGCAAACAGTGAAATCAGGCATTCCCCGTAATTCCTAGTTAATTCAGGGAATGCCGGCAAACGCCGTAATCGTCAAATTTCTTCAGCGTTTCACTAACTCTTTTAGTCAATCCCTGTAATAGCTGGTCTATGTCAGTCAATTGCCGGAAAAACGAATATCAAGCTGTTACCTTATTTTCCTATCTCAGTCATTCCGTGTAATAACCGATTTAGGCAATCGGTGTTCTCGCATTTGAGATCTAGGATTGGCTGAGATGAAAGACGGGAATGTCAGTCAAAAGTAGTTTAGCGATTGCATCGATTGAGTTTAGATGTAAATAGGTTATGTTTCACATTTACGCAAATTTTTGTAGAGCAATATGTCGCAGCATTCGGTTTTGTTTTACAAAAGGATAGATGAATATTATTCTAATGAAAATAAGAAGAAACCTTGGACATCTGCAGAATTAAATGAGGTGAGTGAATTTATATTAATACAAACCTATCCGTTAGTTATACTAACTGTTGTACAGATTGTCTCAAGTTGGTATATTTTATGGGGTCTCTCGAAAATGTAGTTGTCATAACTTATTTTTTACACTGGCCAAACAACTAATTG